TACAGAGAGTTAATACACTTGGCTCTTAACCAAAAGGGTTGGAGGTTCAAATTCATCCAAAGGTACCTCAGAAGAAAGGCCTGATGATCTACTTCCAAACAATCAGCCATTGAAAATCCTACTGAGAAAGACAATACACAGTGTGGCAGAAGTCACACAACTTGACTAAGGCAAGAGAGGACACTGAGAGGAATGCAAGAATTAAGGGAACTGCAGTAATTACCGTAGCATAGACAATCCTGCAACAATCGTATTAACAAACAATAATTTACAACTGGATACATAGATAGATATGCCAAGAGGTGTGGGAGGGTGTAAGGGAGCACACCCACCAGTAGATACAGGTTTGGTGGTAGATATTTCTAAATACATGACTGTAGGTCCTCCCCATATATTAATATAGACAATAGAGCACACAAGTGGCACAGTCAGGGAAATATCTTAGACATAACCAAACACCTTGACAAATGACGTTCTTAGGCTAGAAGGCAAAGGACCATAGACTTGGGGAGCATCTACGTCAATTGGCACAACATAGTTCATTAAAACAATGTTCTACATCCTACTTTGGTGAGGAGCGGCCATCTAAGATGCAAGTATTCCTCTCTTCCAGTCCAGAGCGAAGGAGAGTGAAAAAAACCAAAGACTCAAAGGAGCAATCAGTACAAAGGACTAATGGACCGCATGAAATACAGCCTACATGACCCCAGACCCGAAGAACTAGGTGGTGCCTGGCTACCGACTGCTCTGACTGGGATCTCAAAGAGGATCCTGGACAGAGCAGGAGAAAAATGTAGACCAAAAATCAAATTCACAAAAAAGACCAGACTTACCTGTCTGACAGAGACTAGAGGAACCCCTAAGACTATGGCCCTAAGACACCCTTGTGACCTGGAACTAAAGCCATTCCCAGAGTTCACCTTCCAACCAAACAATAGAAAACCCACAAAATAAATGATAACACCTGTGAGGAATGTACTCCTTAGAACAATCAATTATACGACATCAAAAGGGTGATATCTACCCAAAAGCAAAGATAAGAAGGCAGGAAGGGGTAGAAAATCAGTAGGAAAGGAAATGAGGAACCCAGGGCAGAAATGGGGAGAGTGCTGACACACTGTAGGAAATGAGGCCAAGGCCATGAAACACTTTACATACCAACTATTGAATGGGAAGCTAATTTGCTCCATAAACTTTCACCTGATGCACTATTTAAAAAAAGAAAGAAAACCCTATTGAGCACAATTCTACTCTGACACACATGGAGTCATCATGAGTCAGAGTTGACTCAATGGCAACTGGTTACTGGTTACATAGCATACCCTCACTGCCATGTAGAGCCTGTATTCGGATATTTCTCAGTATCTTCAATATGCTCCCTGTCCAATGTCCATCCACTGCCTCTACTTCCAGTCCTGCTGCTCAGAGATTGGGATTTTCCCACAGTTGAGTTGGGAAAACCCAGCTACTTTCTTCTCAGGTGGTCTCCCTAGAATCATAGGCTGCTCCAAATCAGCTTTGTCATCATGTCTGATGATGAATCCATCTGCTTCATATTTTTCTGAAATACCTTAAGGTTTGTTATCTGCTGATATATTTGCTTCTACATAATATAGATTTTATTTATACTTCACTAAACTCCAGACTCTTGCCGGTTCCCTCTTCCTGGACAACTCTTCCCCCAGATCCTCACGTGGCTAGCTGTCCTTGTCATTCCCATTTCATTCAGCATTGGTGTCCCTTCCTCAGAGGGGCCTTCTGTGACCACCCAATCCAAAGCGACTGCCCCTATCGATCCAGTCATTCTGTATCACATCCTCCCCCTGGTTCTTTTTCCAAATAGGACTTATAATTATTTTAGCACCTAGACCTGTGTCTGGCATATAGTAGGCACTCAGAAAAGACAGGTGGTATGAATGGATGGAGGAATGACTATTTCTTTGGTCATTTTGTTCGTATTTGGGAGCTGAGGAGAGGTGAATGTATGAACCTAATTTACCATGATGAAACTTGAAGTTCCTCCTTTGTTCTTGAAAGTCAGCAAAGAAGTACGCGATAGTTTGGGAAAATGGTGGTAGGCTGGTGTTATGGATTGAATTGTGTCCCCCCACCCCCAAAATGTGTGTCAACTTGGCTAGGCCATGATTCCCAGCATTGTGTGGTTGTCCTCCGTTTTGTGATCTAATGTAATTTTCCTGTGTTGTAAATCCTAACCTCTATGATACTAATGAGGCAGGAATAGGGGCAGTTATGTTAATGAAGCAGGACACAAGCTACAGGATTAGGTTATATCTTGAGTTAATCTCTTTTGAAATATAAGAGAGAAGCGAGCAGAGAGGAGAGGGCCTCATACTACCACTAAGAAAGTAGAGCCGGGAGTGGAGCTTGTCCTTCGGACCCGGGATCCCTGTGCTGAGAAGCTCCTGGACCAGGGGAAGATGGATGATGAGGACCTTCCCCTAGAGCCGACAGAGAGAGAAAGCCTTTCCCTGGAGGTGGTGCCCCGAATTCAGACTTCTAGCCTCCTAGACTCTGAGAGAATAAATTTCTGTCTGTTAAAGCCATCCACTTGTGCTATTTCTGTTATAGCAGCACTAGATAACTAAGACATCTGGCCTGTTGGTTTATCCCAACCTATTCAGCACTGTGTCCCTAAGAGGATGCTACCTGCCCCTACACCTAATGCTCTGGTTCTGCTCTTATATTTGGGGTTCTACTGTAATCTTAATGTTTATACGGAGTTGAATAGTGCCTACCCAAATTTCAAGTCTACCTGAAACCTCAGAATGTGACCTTATTAGAAGAGAAAGTGAGTCATTGCAGAGATAATTTGTTAAGATGAGGTCATACCAGATTAGGGTGCACCCTAAATCCAACAACTGGTGTCCCATGTGAAGACACAGAGAGACACAGGAGGAAAGCCATCTAATGACAGAGGCAGAGATTACAATGATGCAGCTACAAGCCAAGGAACGCCAAGGATTGTTTGCAACCATCAGAAGCTAGGAGAGAGGCATAGGACAGACGCTTCCTCAGAACCTCCAGAAAGAACCGCCCCTGCAACATCTTAATTTCAGACGTTTGGCCTCTTGAACTGTGAGAGAATAGATTTCTGTGGTTTTAAGAACACAGTTTGTGGTAATTTGTTATGATAGTCCCAGGAAACTAAGACAATGTCTAACCTAAGACAGCATTCCGTCCACCTACAAGCAGGATCAGGTTATTTAGAGACAAGTGAAAATGAAGAGGGGCTGTGAGACCCTTGTTGTTCTCCCAGTAGAACATTTGTACTCACTCGGATACTGGCAGTGGTGTTAGGAAACTGTCTTTGAAGAAGGAGAGTCTGGAATCAGTGCCAACATCATGTTTCAGCCCAGAAATGGTCCGTGTCCGTGAAAACAAAGGCTGAAGATGACCAATAAAATAATTAAAAGTCTTACTTCTTTTTTCAGTTTCAGTTTACATAACAAATATGTATTAGGAACCTAACTCGATGCTATGTTCTGAGCAAGAATGTCTCTCGAGATATAAATGTAGCAAGGTAAATAGAAGGGGCTATCTTACCACCTGACACCAGAATTCCTCTTTGTTTGGCAGAGGACATTAATAAGCCACTGGGGCAGAAAGTAAGGCCCTGAGGGCAGGAGTGTTGGCACAAACTCAAACAGCAGAGGGAGAAGGTTGTGCTGTGCCACATGAGAAACTGAGAAGGATTTATTTTTTGTTCCTGAGAGGGAAGAGCCAAGGGTCGTGAAAAGCCAGGGAGGAGAGAGAAGCCAGGACGCTGGTGGGAACCAGGGTGCTGTGTGGGGCCAGGAAAAGCCCTAGCACTAAGGTGATCAAGAACTTTTCAGAAGCAGAAATGTCGAGTATGTGATTTTTAAATTGTGTGCTGCTGGGTGGTGCCGGATGTATCCCCTTCTCAGGACCCTTGAATCTCAGTCAAGGTTCCCATACTCTCAGGTACTTCATGTGAAGGAGGGTCTTTTTTTGTTTTGTTTTTTGTGGAAATGGAGTGTGGAAGAATAGAGGCAGCAGGTAAGAAAGCAAGAGCCATGAGAACATAAGTCCCTGGGGAGTCCATATTAATCTGTGTGTCCTCAGGCAAATTACATAACCTCACTAGGCCTCAGTTTCCTTATCTGTACAGTGGGGATGCTGCTAGTACATTTTTCACAGAGTAGTTGTGAGGACTTTGATGAGTTAACAGATGTAAAATGTTTGGAATAATGCTTAGCACATCATAAGTACCATACAGGGAGTTGTTAAACCAATAAATGAGTGCAACATCCCACTTCTAAACAAATGAATATGGTTTATCCTGGATGAGTGGATGTACTTCTAATCAATTGTGGGTCACTTGGCTCTAAACGGGACTCTGTTTCTCCCCTGTGATTTGTGGGAGGGGTGGGAGGTGGCAGGGGGGCAACATCTTTGATAAAAGGTTGGGTTTACGAAGCATCTTGTGTTATAATAAAAATGAAGAAATGGTGGAGCCAAGAGTTGGGTCCTTTACTGATTGAAGGGCAAATAGATGGCATTGTTATGTTTCCCGTAGACAGCCACTGCTTGACAGGCCCTCTGGTAAACCCTGCCCCTTGCAAATGCCTCCTTTAAAGAGACTTTTTACTATTGGTACTGTTGGTGTGGAGCCCTTGTGGTGCAGTGGTTAAGACCTTGGCTGCTAACCAAAAAGTCAGCAGTTCAAATCCACCAGCCAAACCCCATGGAGCAGTTCTACTCTGTCCTATAGGTCATTATGAGTTGGAATCAACTCAACAGCAACTGGTTTGGTTTGGATTTTGGGCTGCTGGTGTACAAAAATCTGTGTTTGGAGTCTGTGCAGCTTGATAGGCTCTGTAACTTATCTGTGAGACATTTCCCTTTGGTGCGTGGCAACAAAATATATTGGAGTTGTTGAAGAGAATATGATACACACTTTTGCCTGGTACTGATCATTTTTAAAACCTTGTTTTATTTTATTTTTTTTCCCTTCAAAGCAAAGAGCCCAGCCAGCAGAGGGTAAAGAGGTGGGGCTTCTCTTTCGATGAGATACTGAAGGACCAGGTGGGGCGGGACCAGTTTCTCCGATTCCTGGAGTCCGAATTCAGTTCAGAAAACCTCAGGTAAATCTCCCAAAGGTGTGATCTGTGTGCATAGTGCATATGAATAAATTTGCATAATCAGTCTTTCTTTCTGCTTCCCTCTCTCAATAAAAAGTTATTATGGTTCAGATTCAAATCCCAGCTAATCTGGCTGTGGTTGGAATGAAGAACAAACTAAAATATACAGCTTCATTATCACCACGTTAGCACCTACCAACACCAGTAATTTTCAGTTCTTGAAGTTCAGATGACATTTGTCCAACTTATTAGAAACACATCTCCAATAATAAGTAAACGGGCAGACGGGTTTGATGACACCCTTCGTTAACTAAAACCATAGAACCATGGAGAGACAGCTCAGAGACTCCGCCAAAGCTTCCCAGTCCGGCGTCCTGAATACCTGACAGGCAGAACAGGAAAGAGGGGTCAGTGGGCTCTTTTCAGAATTTCAAAATGCCAAAGTAAATATCATTCAATAATCAGAACCGTAATTGTACAAGCTGATAAAGCATGCTGCTTCCTTTTGTGGGGGAATTCTATCAGTTAACTCCATGCTGTGGTTCCGCTGGTCATCTGATACCAGTGAGAACATCTGATTGTTTCTGATGTATTAATCTATTAATAATTACTGCTTAGGGAAAACATATTGAGGGATTAGTAATTACTGTTTAGTAGAAGAAAAAATCAAACTTTTAAAACATGGGGTCTAGTGTGAGGGGAGGGAGAGGGGGTGCATTACAAGGTCTTAAAAAATGTAGCTATTCAGCCTTTCATTGTATTAGATGAAGAATCAGAGATCTATGGAAAATGTGACTTGTCTAAGACCCCTTAATGATCTTGGCAAAGGGGTGACTTCTTAATTGGTAAGATGGAAAGCTCAATCTTTTTTTCTCGGCAACAGCTTCTTTTTTATATAACTAGGCTAAATCCTGTCTTCTAGTGGCATTTTCTCAAAAAGGGTTGTTTTGTTAATTTTTTAAAGATTTTTTTTAACTTTAAAAATTCAAAATATATACTTTGGGCAAAAGATATTGCCCTCCAGTATTAATGTGCAAAATCCATGTGATTTATTTGGAGTTCGAGACGATCTCAAGCCCATTTATCAATCATGTGACATCTATTACACACCTATACTGTATCAGTGTGGACATTGGTGGTTCGATGGTAGAATTCCATGCAGGAGACCCAGGTTCGATTCCTGGTGAATGCACCTCATGCACAGCTAATGAGGCTTGTGTGTGGTGCTGAGATGCTGAATAGGCTTCAGCATAGCTTCCAAACTAACATGAACTAAGAAGAAAGGCCTAGCAACCTACTTCCAAAAATCAGCCATTAAAAGCCCTATGGATCACAATGGTCCAGTCTGCAACCAATCATGGGGATGGCACAGAACCAGGCAACATTTTGTTCCATTGTACCCGGGGTTGTCATGGGTCAGGGCTGACGCCACGGCAGCTAAGAACAACAATGCTGTATCAAGCCCCATGAGGGTCTGCTGGGGGATGCAAGAAGTCAGGATGGATGGTCTTTGTCTGCAAAGACCTTGTAGGTCTTTGAAGAAAAAACACAAGAAACAATGAAATCATTAACCTAGTATAAATGGGTATAAACTCTAAGAACCCTTTTGGAAGTGTTTTTAAAAGGGAAGGATCAGTGTCAGCCGGAGTAGGCAAATCATAAGCTGGACTATGAAGAATACACAGAATGTCAATAGACAAAAGAGAAAGTGAATGTACTAAGCTGGAAGACCGTATGAGCAAAAGTGTGGTGCGGGACGTTCCCATGCCATGATATCTTAGAACGGTATATAGAAGCCAACTAACTATGCATTGATGTCTTTCTAGGTTTACATGTGCTTGATAAAAACCAGATAAGGTTGAGTATCTGATTTCAGGTTATGACAGAAGGGTGCTTGCCTTGTGCCAAGCATTATTCTCAACACAGCTCAGAGCTTCACTTCAGTTCCTAATCGAGTATTGATAACAGAAGCCTTGACTCTGACACTCTTCAGTAGGCCAGTGCTCAGACCAGCCTCTCAGGCTGGCCTGGGGGTAGGTGCTACTTAGGGAGCAAACCGGTCTGTGCTGCCAGCTCAGCCCTGGGTCCCATCCCTGGCATCCTCCTGATAAACCACACCTGGGAATCCTTCCCCTCTCCCCTTTTCATCCCTGTCCCCCTGGGTCCCCAAGATGGAGAGGTATAACCCCAAAACCAAACTCACTGCAATCATGTGGAATTCTGACTTATAGCAACCCTGTAGGATGGAGTAGAACTGCCCCATAGAGTTTCCAAGGCTGTAAATCTTTATGTAAGCAGACTATTGCATTTTTCTCCTGAGGAGCAGCTGGTGGGTTCGAACCGCCAACCTATTGGTTAGCAGTGAGCGCTTAACCATTGCACCACCAGGGGAAAGGTGATACCAAAACCAAACCAAACCAGTTGCCATCGAGTGATAGAGGGCCCTCTATCTGACTGTGCTTGAGCCCATGAGTGGCCTTATGAACCTCCACCAACTGCACGAGTACAGAGAGCTGGAAGAATGGGCACAGGTCCTGGCCACTGTAAAGGACGCAGGAGCAGGAGCATCTGCTGGCTCAGCTGCTGCCTTTTGCCCAGTCTGGGGCCTTCATTCTGGAAAACCCTAGGTGTAGCCAGAGCCACATATCAATTCAGACTAGTTCCACAAATCTGTGTTTTGCTTAAGGCCCAGAGTGCACGGAGGAGCATGTCCTGGCAGGTGTTCAGCCCTCATCCTGCCATTGTCTCTTATGCCCCTGCGGCCCCTTCCTCCCCTGCTGCGAGAGCTGCATTTACGCTTGGGTTAAAGGGTGCGTGTGAGCATTCGTGAGTGTGCCGGTGGCTAATCTACACCCCAGCATGCATGCATAAATCCAGACTTAACGAGGGCCCCTATGATCCATGGTAGGAAAGAGGATAAGGAAAACAGCACAGCTGCAGATAACAAGTATCACCCCAAAGCTGCTAAAATCCTCTCTGGAGGCCCAAATTCCATTTTTATGATCTTCAGCATAATTGGATATATAGGGGAAAGTGCAGTTTTAAATCACACAACTTTAGGACTCTTTCCGTTGTCTGTGACACGAGAGTTTCTTCCTCTTCCTTTCTTAACTCATTCCTTCGGCCACGGATGTTGACCTATCACCTACTGTGACCCAGGTCCTGAGGACTCAGCCAACTAAGCTTTGCCTCTTGGCCAGGGCAGCCACGTTGGCCCTGCAGAGGCCATGCACATACCTCTGCGTGTGGTCTGTGAATGGCAGTCCCTAGGGGTGGGGCGGAATGGCACAATGCCAGGATCTGCAGATCTGTGGTGGTGGCCATGCAGGGAGCATCCCTTCTCCCCAGGATCAGCCACTGGTGGAGAACCCAGGCAACTGGCATTGGAGCATGAGAGGAAGGGAGAGAGAGGCAGACAGACAGATAGGAAAACAAACAGACCAATGAAAACTCCTCTTGGTAAATTGCAAAGCGCCTCTCCTCTTCAGAGCTTCAGAATGCAGAAGAGAGACACTCAAAGAGACAGTGGCATTGCTCTCACAATAGCCAAGTATCACCCAGGATCCTTTAAGGAAGATTTCTGAGATGACATAATGTCATTTGAACTTGCCTTTGATCATTTTTCTTCTGATTAAGCCAGTGAGATGAAGAGGCATGTATTAGACACCGGAGCCAGCATGGGGGTTGATTGTCAGCTCTCTGTGGCAGGCACTATCTCCCTTTCTCTTTTTCTGACTCACCCTGAGCCAAGCCCAGGGCTTCACTCGGACTGGGTGGGCCTGCGGAGGAAGCTGTCAGCTTGGTGCCTTTGGAGCCTCTCTTAGCCACAAGGCAGGAGACTGCCAGTACGGAAGCAGGGAGTTGCAACGATTTCTTTTACCTAGTCCCCCACCCTTCTCTGTGCTTCTTCATAGCATGGTGACAGTAGACCCTTATCACCTTTGCTCCCCTCCCCTTCACAGAACTTTGGGTCCTCCCTGGCTTGCCACCCTCTGCTGCATGGCAGAGCACGAATTAAAAATCAAAACCTGCAGCAAAGAGCGTCCCGTACATTTTTTATGAGCTGTAACGCTCTCCTGAGAGAATGTAGTTGTTCTTCTAACCTGCAGATTGATTATCCTAGTTCCACACAGTGTCAGCTGAAGGGAGAAGCAATTAAAAGAGAGCACAGGGGATTTGCCAGGTTTGCCTCCAGAGCTCCCATCTCCGACAGTTGCCCTAAGTCCTAGGAAGACCACAGAATGCTCACTGTGCCCAGAAGGATTTACCACTAAGCAAACACAAGATTAATCAGAACAGAGGTCACCAACACAGCCTCGAGAAAGCCTGCAACATTTCAGCCACTGCCCAGTGGCTGAGCCTGAGACCAGTTCCCGAGGAGGTGGTGGTCCTTGCCACTGTGGGCACTAGAGGATTTGAGCCCACAGAGACTACGTTGAGTTTAATCCATTGTTCCTGAGTCTGTCTGGCCAGCAGAGGGCACAGAAACACTTTGTTTTGCCGTGGAGTTTGCTTTTCTCTGGGAACGAGCCAAAGGCTGTATTTTCTAACCCATACAAGTCTAGCTTATGAAAAGATAAGTCAGCTAGTAACTGTGGGGCTGCCCAGACTTTTCTGGAAGAACAGAGGACACCCAACATGGCTTCTCTTGCTCCAGCAAGTCTTGAGGAGAAAAGCCCATTCCCTATTAGCATCCAGGTCCTGAGGGAGGGAAGAGGCCACCTGAGGCAATCCCCGTACCGCCCACAAGTGCCGTCCACTCCTGCTTCCCCTGGGGGCTTCTGAGCCCAGCCTGCCTCTCCCCAAAGGCCAGTTTCCCCTCTTGCAGTTGCCATAGAGTCGATTCCGACTCACGGCGAACCCGTAAGTGTCAGAGTAGAACTGTGCTCCGAATGGTTTTCAATTGCTGATTTCTTAGAAGTAGATTGCCAGGCCTTTCTTCCAAGGCACCTCTGGGTGGGTTTGAACTTCCAGCCTTTCGGTTAGCAGTTGAGTGCATTAACCGTTTCCACTACCCAGAGACTCATCTAAACCATTGTTGTTGTTAGTTGCCGTGGAGCCAATTCCAACTCATGACGACCCCATGAGTTGCAGAGTAGAACTGCTCCATAGGGTTTCCAAGGCTGTGACCTTTCAGAAGCAGATCTTCAGGCATGCTGGGTGGGTTCAAAGCACTAACCTTTTGGCTAGTATTCAAGCACGTAACCTTTTCCACCATCCAGGGACTCCTCTGAGCCATTAACATGATTAGATGCCAGCACATGACTGCTTCCCACTGCTCTGAGGATTGGCAGTGGCTGGGGGAGGCAGGACAGGTGGTCTCCACGATATGAGCGAGGCCTGTGGCTGCCAGTCACAACGGCCCTGCTGCTACAAACCACGGAGGCTTAGTGCAGGATGGGTGGATTTGCCGCTGCTGCTGGCATGTTATTCCCCGCTGACATCCTCGGGAAGGAGTGGCACCTGCAGGCTTTTGATAAGAGCAGGAACAGCACAGACCTCCATGAGCTTCTGGGGCTTCTTCAGGGGGAGTGTGGCCAGGCACAGGGGCTCGGGGTTCCCAGCACAGGTCTGTGGGACTCACAGTTGGCAAACACAAACCAAAACCTGTTCTGAATTTCAAAATGAGACAAAGGTTCTTTGAAGCTGGTGATGGTAAACACATATGGGATGTCAGGATGCTGTTGTGACAGCAGTTTTGCTGTCACCTGAGAGGGATAAGGCAGGTCATCTCCAAGGCAGACAGAGGCTGGGGGAGAGTCCCTGTGTGTGCAGGGGGAGAAAGCTGCTGTCTGTGGGGTCATCCCTACCCTTCCTCCTCCTCCTCCTTTTTCTCCTCCAGCGTGCCTATTGATTTTCCTTGTAATTTTTTTTATCCTTGGTTTTATCCTACAAAAGGAACCTTTTAATTTTTTATGTAAAACTTTATTAAATTTGATTCTGAAATTTCCATTTATCTCAGGTCTGGACTTTATACCCAGCTGAGTGGTGTGGGTTAACGTGGCTCCCAAACAATTCTGCAGGGTCTTCGGGGTCCTCAGGGCCTCCCCAGAGGGGCTCAATAGCTCCTCCTCAGAGCAGAATAGAGCAAGGGACAGAAAACCACAGAAGGTGATGCCTGGTGACAGCGATTATGAGGGGGCAGGACAACATCTAGATGTCATCCATTTGTGTGAGAAATTGCAGCGGCCTGGTGGGCTTGGGAAGGTCGCCGGCCCCAAGAAGTTGCCATCCAGCCCGGGGAGTCAGTCCAGAGGTGACTCCCTGAGCAGATGGCTGACTCTCCCATCTGCCCAGCATGTAGCTGTGGAGGAGTCATTGACTTGGTCTTTGATGAGTTGCTCCTTAGCACACACTCCAGTTCTTTGAAAAGCTAACACAGCTTCTTTCTTTAGAGCTGGCTTTTCTAATTCACCTGCCCATGGAACATTGTCCTCCAGGCAAAGCAAGCCTATAGGTGCACTCATCACCAATGACCATTTTTACCTTTAAGGGTTCAGCCACCTCCTTTGTTTCATAGCAGATAATGGGGAGTGGGGGCAGAGAGACCTAGGGACCTGGTGGAGGAGACCCGTTCTCCAGCTTGAGTCATAAGACTCCACCTGCACAATGTGGCAGTCAGTGGCTTCTTCCACCCTCCTCCTTGTCCCTCTCTGCACACTGGCTGAAGCAGCACTGCTGTTTTCCTGTCCTTTGGTTACCAGGAGGACAGGAGCACCAAGGACAGAAGGAAAGAGTGCTGGTATTGAAGAGGAGGTGACAATAGGTGGCAGTAGCAAGAGGCCCTGGCAGCTTCTGCCCAGACCCCTTGAGAAAGAAGTGAAATTCGAGGGTTCATAGCGACCCTGTATTGAACTTATGGCCGCCATGCTGACCCCACCTGTACCACACTCCCACAGGACCTGAAAATGTTTCAGAGTTGATCCTGGATGGGAGCTTTTTCAGAACAGTGCTACATGCTCCTCCACCTACTTTGTGCCCATTTTACAGATGAGGAAAGAGACACCACAATTCCAAGAAATCAGAAGAGCCAGGATAAGGGCAGAGCTGTGCTTCTTCATCCTT